CCAGAGGAGGGGTTAAGCTGGTCCTGTAGGCTTCTCAACTTCCTGGAGCCAGTAGGCCTGGGAACCATGTCTTTTACTCAGAGAGGCAGAAACACAGAGGGGCAGCTATATTTCAAGCCTTTACTACTTCCTGCTTGTGGCATTCCACTGACTAACGTGGGTCCCACAGCCAAGCTCACTGTCGCAGGGAAAGAAAGAGTATTCCGCCCCAGTCAGAAGGACAGCTGGGGAGGGAATAGCTCCTGCTTATTGAAGAGCTTTGGGATGCTAAACACATCCATCTACTCAGGGTTGGGAGAGACCTGTCTGATAAGAAAGACGACAGGGAAGATGGCGTGACAGGTATTAGTGCGGCCAGGACCTGGGCAAACATCATCTTATTAAGGCACAAAGACCACGCTCAGTAGGTATTATTCTATTTAACGGATGAGCGAGCAGGTAAAGATGGAATTGTGACTTGCTCAGACACAAGGCCAGCAGGGGCAGAATGAAGGAGCTATTGTGAGAGCATGGCAGGGGGGGCAATGAGCTGAGCGCTGACCTCCTGCTACCCAAGACAGCGCATTCTGGGCATCCTCACTGCCCCTTCGTCTACACCTAGGCGTGGTGTGGGGGAGGGGGTATCAGGACCACCGTTGCTTTGACCTCACCCCAGTCTCTTGGAAAAGGTGTCAGGGTGGGTACCTGGCATTGCCACCAGCAGCTCCCGGGAGGGTATCAGATGCAACCAATGCCAGCTTGTGTTTGCCGAGGCCTTAGTGGGACCCCTCTCTCCCTCCTGCTGCTGAAGCGAGCTTCTCAAGAAGCCGGTGTCAGCCACCCCACTCTTTACAAGAAAATCATCTACATGATCGATTCCTGCAGCCTGAACACCGAGCGTGCAGAGATTTATGGTAGGAGGCCTTCTCCAAGGCTCTCTGCCTCCGAGTAGCGTCCCCACCCCGGTGCACACAGGTAACCACTGTGCCGTCTCTCCCTGTATTGGTCTCCAGAATTATTTAAGGCACATGCAAAAATTAAAAAAAAAAGTACAGGTTCTCTCCTGTTTGGGTTTTGCTCAAACACATAAGCTAGTGGATTTCACAGTTTTACAACCTCTCCTCTCATTTAATCTTCGCCGGCAATTTTTCCATCCCGGCACCGAGGAAACTCCCTCGTTAATTTTCGGCTGCAGAGCACAGACCTATGGAACTCACATCCCCTGTCCCGGTGCTGATGGATGTGGAAGGTTCTGGTTCTTTGATAAACCGGACCAAGCTTCAGCAATACCTTCTGCTCTCTGCCAGGGTTAAATTTACCTGCAGGATTAATTCACAGGAGCAGGGGTACTGAATCCAAGGGGTGGCATGGCTATCACTCGGTTACACACAGACAGCCCCGCATGGTTGAGCAGATTACACACGCCGACAGGCGGTACCTGAGAAATCGCTTCCCCAGAGCCTCGTCACCAAAGTCTATCAGGCAGCTAGAGAGTGGGCTTCTGTTGGGAAAGACTGTCGTTGTCCCCCCATCCTCCCCAGGACAAAACAGCATCCTCTGGCAGATGGGGAGGTGGGCACAGCCCTGTCCATTCTCCCAGCTTGTGGTCAGCTAGGGAGGAGGACAGGGGCACATCTCTGGCAGCAGCTTCCTTAATGGGACAAGACGAAGGCACTTTCTGAGGCACACTGAGGATCCTCAAGGGACAGGCGGCACCCCTTAAGAGCAGAGTAGGCACCCCTAAAGCAGCTATCCTTGACATCTGGGCTTGGTAGAGAAGTAGGGCCAAGGGGTCTTTGGTGGGTGAAGGGATTTCACTCCCTCAGACCTCACTCGTGCCCTTGGCCCCTCCTCCGTACAGAGGGCTGTCACCTTGGCACACCGATGCCTACACATGGTGGGTCGTCCCCCCCGCAGGCTGGTTACTGAGCTCAAGTGAACAGAGATCTCATTAAGCTCAGCGAAGCTCATTAAGACTGCAGCCCACATTGGCGTCAAAGGAAGGTCAAGCCTCTATTCACGGGAGCTGGTGCCTCTGGGACCCAGTGGTGCCAGCGCTCACAAAGAAGATGAAGGGGATCAAAGAGGCAGACAGCTGTGTGGCCCAAGTTCCCTAGGGCACCCGAACCGTTACCACCATCTTCTCCCAGGCCTGCCCCTGCTTTGGGAGAACTGCGTGGGAACTGGGTCTATCAGCCCCTACACAGGGAAGAAGTATGGCTGAGAAAGTACAGTTGGATGTTGAGACTGCCATCCTTGGAGGAGACAGCAAGCCTGGCCAGAAGCCACTGTGCCATACAGACTTGCCCTCTCTGATACCCAGACTGCGCATCTGTAAATCAGAGGCTAATTTATAGGCGCCCCAGGGGTCAAAGAGTTGCCCAGAAGCTAGGGAGTCTGAGCCACAGTCTCCTCCATCCTCGGCCCATCTATCCAGCATCCCCATAGCCCTCTGAAAAGGTAGCGGTCCTGGGAAGAATGAGCTATTCCTTTGAAGTAATGGGCCAGGCAGGGCTCTCCCCGAGGAAGCGAGCATCAGGTAGAGGGCACATAAATGAACCAGCTCTGTATTAAACTGGGTTATTGGGAAGGGCTCAGGAGACATCAGGCCTTCTGGGATATACTGTCAATCTGCCAGGCCCCTCTCCGACTCTCTCGACCTGCCGGCCATTCATTAGCACAATGCTCATGTTGTGGTCAGCTAGATGGGCGCTGTATAGGCAGCTACCACACAAGGAGCTCCAGAAGCCCTGGGTCAGAACCAGCCTGCTCCCCGGGACCTTTTCCCCAGTGACAGGCCTCCCACGGCTCCAGCTTTACCAAGAGGAGAGTATGTTAGGCAGACCCTGAGCTTGTTTCAAGAGTCTAAGAGCAGGCTCCTCGGTCTGACTGTAGCCTCCAACCCCCTAGTAATATCGCCCGCCTTTGTGAGAGGTTATACGCTTTCATGGTTGAGGATGCACCTTGGGGACACACTTAGGCTCCATGTCTGGCTCATGATCCAGGAAATCCCATCTCTTATGTACTGGCTCTCTTGAAAACATCATCTATACCTGATGACCAGAAGAAGAGCTGATTCCTCCTGGGTGTGGTAGTTCAGGGGCAGAGGCAGGTGGACCCCTGAGTTCAGCCTGTCTGCAGAATGAATTCCAGCACAGTTGGGCTACCTTATCTTGAACTCCCTGCCACTCTGCCTCAAAAAAAAAAAAAAAAAAAAAAAAAAAAAAAAAAAAAAAAAAAAAAAAAAAAGGAAAAGACCAGACTGTGTGTGACAACCCTGCCCCTGTGTATGATGTCTGGTCCTGATGTCTAATTTCACAGACAAGAGTTTATTGGGTCTCTGAAGCCAACAAGGTTAAGATGGAGCCATTAGGGTGAGGCCAACTCCAGCATAGCAGATGTCTCTCGTTAGAGAAGGTTGAGGATATAAAGTGACAGGCACATAGAGGCCGGGAGATGCCCAGCAGCCAGAGGAGGGGGGCTGGACCAGATCCTCTCTTTGGATCCCCAGTGGAAACAGGCCCTTTTGTCAGAGCTGAGGGTCTTACATCTGTGATGTCATCATGGCCCCTCAGGAAAGAAATACCAACTCCAAGAAGAACATCTGTTATATCACAGGCCAGCCTGTACCAGGGATCTTTCCATTTCTTCATGGTGGATGGCGGGTACAAAGATTTGATAATCCCCCAACAAACACTGGGCGCTAGGCCATGCAGGTGTACACTGGGCAAGGACACAGTGGTATCTGTCCTGCACTCCAGCCCCCCTTCAATATCTACTAGTGACTGGGTGAGCTGGTGTGTAGACCACCCCGGATTCCTTTCTCCCCCTCAGGGACCTGTCCCAGCTCAAGCTGTGTCCAGCTTTATATAACTCAAAGGTCACGTGTTTGTTCCCGGGAAGGCCAGTGTCTGTCACAATGCCAGGCTTTCAGAGATGCCCAACTATGGGGCTGAATGGGCCCCATAAAGTCGGAAGCATCTTCTGAGCCCCAACCCCCACTGGGAGGCCCCAGCCTCACACCGAGCCCAGAGTGCTCCATCTCCATACTGGACACCCCCATCCACTCCTGTGTCTGTCCAGGTCCGGTGCCACCCTGTGTGGGGCTGCACGTGAAAACTTAAGTTATTGCATTATTAAGAACATGATGGAGCCAGTGAGGCTGGAAATGCTTGTGTTAATAGCAGCGGTCTGCAGTTTCATCTCACTTTAATAGGGACCATCTGCCATGAGCAGGCGGCTGGCGCAGCCAGCTCCTCCCCGTGCGTGCAGCACCCCAACACACATGAGTCATCCGTTCTCAGTCAGGTGAGGGAGATGAGGTTTAGGAACTGTGGGGGTAGCTGAGCCAGAACTCCAGGGAGGGATGTTGAGGCTCCCTGGAGGTTGGGGCTGGGGCTAGGACATGCATGACCCCAGAAGTGCCTCTGTCTCTGCTGGCCTGGATACAGGCCTGGCAATGACTACAGGGTCATCAAGCACTGGCTGCATAAAGCTGAGGGGGCGTGGCTCAGGGGGTGTGTCCTCCTGGATCCGCTGTGCTCTTCTTGAAAAGGCCCAGGGAGGCCTGTGCTCTGAGGCAACTTTGGCTCTGCCCTGATCCAGCCACAGGGCAGCCCCTGCCTCCTGGTGCCTCAGTTTCCACATCTGTAGAGTGGGAGTCCTGAAATGTCCACCCAAGCAGGCCGTGAACACTGAAGCAGCATGAGAGAAGACCCTGGTAGGGAGCCACCTGCTTGGTTGGTGACTAGATACGGGAGGAGGGCGAGCATCCTCCACGACCGGGCAGACCTCAGTTGGGGGGAGGGGCTGGAGACCGGATGTATGGGGCTGTCTGACTCCACTCCCAGTCTGAGCTGTGATGAAGGTGGTGTGGCCCACACAGCTCTGGGTCCCAGTTCCACGAAGCCTGCGAGCGGAACCAGTTGGAACTGGGCCAGGAAACGGAGAGCCTCTGCGTCTCAGCTCCCCTCGTCCTCGGCTGCAAGGTGAGATGCTGGAGACGGGACCCAAGCACGGGGCTATAGCGTAGCCCCACTGGGCAGGGGGATCTTGTAGCCGCTGCGCAAGAGCACAAGGCAGGCACCCAGCCCCAAGGCTCCCGCCAGCAGCACGGCACCCAGGGCCTTGAGGAAGGAAGTCCTGGTCCGGGTGAAGGAGCCCGGCGCCATGATGCCCAGCAGGGCGGTGCTGACGGTGAGCGTGTAGAGAATGGATACGCCCGTGTTGAGCGCCACGATCTTCCCAAACTTGGCGAACGGGGCGATGATGCAGAAGAAGAGCGGGACGGTGGCGATGACGGTGGTGAGGGCGCTGGACACGATGGCCACGCCAACATGCCGGACGGCCTCCAACGTCCTCCACTGGCGCTGAGAGCTGGCATCCTGAGGCAGTGGAGAGAGAGTGGGGAGGGCTGAGCACCCACTGCGGGCATTAGACCTGGGCTTGACTGTGATGCGGGTGAGCATACACTGCTGCCCCAGGCTGGCTCTGCCTGAGACTGGCTCCCACCTCGTAAGTGGGACTCTCACAAGGGAGGGTCACAGGGCACAGACATGCAGAAAGGATGTAGGTAGGAGGGTATGCACGGTGGGTCCTTATACATGGGGGCTCTGACTGGAGTTATTCCAGTCTTTCAACCTGAAAGGGATTAGGAGTGTAGCTGACTTAATTCTGTCACCTTTTGGTCCACGTCTTCACATCAAACCTAGGACAGGTAGCTTTAATTGTCTACTTGATACAGCCTAGCGTCACCTGGGAGAAAAGTCTGAGTGAGCGGCTGTCTGCATCGGGTTGGGTTGGTGGGGATGGTTAACAGATGTGAGAAGACTCAGTCTACTCTGGGCGGCACCACTCCCCAGGCAGGGGAGGTCCTGAGCTGTGCAAGAGTGGATAAGTCAAGCTGAGCTCAAGCAGCAAGCGAGCTAGCAAGAGAGCATGCATTCAGTTTCTCTCTCTGCTCTATACTGAAGAAGTATGTAACCAGATGTTTGAAGTTTTTGCCCTGATCCATCTATAATGTTGGACCATAAAGTGGAGTTATAAAGCAAATAAATGTTTCCTCCTCTAAGCTGGCTTTTGTCAGGGGGATTTTATCACTCAATAGGCATTTAACTAGAGTAACCCCACCTCTCATCCCTTCCTTAGGTTCACAGCAAGCTTTGGCTGTTACATGACCCAAGGGCTGCAGGGCTGTGCTCTCATGGCTGGAAAGATACCCCGTGCTCCCAGGGCTGTGGACTGTGACGCTGCAGTGTCGGGAACAGCTCCTAGGATGCAGCTTGCCTATGGGTGGAGTATGGGATGATCATCTGTTCTTATGGGCCCTCCTACTGACCCAAGGTGGGAGCTGAGTCAGGGGTCAGGCATACACAGGACAGCTTACCTCAGCCTGGTGTGGGGGCAGATTTTCCCCAGCTAGCAGATAGCCTTCTACCAGATGGACACAGTAATCCACAGAGGAGCCGACCAGGATGGACAGCGAGATAGCCTCCACGGCTCCCATCTCCCAGCCGCTCCAGTACATGATGGTCACCACAAGGCAGACAATGCCTGCAGGAGGGACAGCAGAGGTACACTTAGACATCCCCCTATCCATGTGGTCCTGAAGAGTCCCTAGGAAACAGGGACATCCAGAGTCAAGAGGGACGAGGGTCAATGCCAGAGAGAAGGGAAGAGATGAGGGAGGGGGTGGGTCCAGCAACGTGTCACTCACCTGAACGATGGCACAGAGATACCTGGCTCCACTCAGGGAACACAGGCATGTAGTTTCTGTGTGTCACGGTCACATAATGCCAAACTGAGGGTCTTTTCATAGGGGTAAGAATGGCAACAAGGCCTTTTCTAGGACTGGGTGGCCAGAGGCTCAGAGGTCCAGAAGACTCTTCCCTGGTCCCACTCCCATGAGCCCGGCCTGTTGTCGCCTGCCACAGATCCTTACTGACCTCATCCCCAGGACACACCACCCTTGGCACACATACCCAGGATACTGAGGAGCACAGGCAGCAGAAGGAGGACATGGGTGGTGAACACGGCCACCGCAGCCACACAGATGAGAAGCGAGAGGACCAGGCCGTACAGGGCACTCTGTACCCCTGCAAGGGAGGAAAGAAGGGACTCAGGGGCTGCAGGGCGCAGAGACTGTGCTTCCTCTTGACCCCAGGACAGAGGTTATTGGCTTTGTAGGAAGAGGCAATCACAGCTAGTTTAGCCATCTTGAGCTTTTCTCTAAGGTCTGCCCACAAGCAAAATTTATTTGGAGTTCAAGGAGTTAAACAGGGCCCCAGAGCAGAGCAGACCCTAGGAAGGGCCATGACCCTACTTTTAAAATTATTATTGTATGTGAGCCCATTGATCCCGCACACAGGTCGGGGTCAGAGGGCTTAGGGGAGTTCGTTCTCTCTTTCCGCCATGGATTGGGGGACTGGCTCAGATTATCAGGCTTGCACAGCAAGTGCTTTTATCTGCTGAGCCACCTCACTGGTCCAAATGTTCCTTTCCAGGTGGCCAAATTCAAGATCACACATGGCCAGATGCCACCAGCAGGAGAGGACCCACACTCTGGCCTCTCATCAGTAGTCTGGCAACTGTATCCCATTTTCCTTGGGTTCTGAGCCAGGACTCAGGATAGCAGAGGAGTGGTGTAGACCACACCATGCCCTCATTGTGGGTGACTGCCTTTGCGTGGCTACTCACAGCCGGCCTGCAGGAGGGTTGGACCCACACCCACCTATGATCTCCATGAAGATTTGCTTCCAGTGCTCACAGGTCTGGAAGCCTCGGCGCAGGGCTGAGCCCTCAGGGAAGGTCTGCAGCTGCTGCCGGAGGAAGCTCTCCCAACTCAGGTAGTCCGAGTAGGTCTGGAAGGAGGACTTGCCCTTGTATGTGGTCTGCAGGGGACATGGGCTGGTGAGACTAGTGGGTCTTCTTGCATTTCCTAGAGACAGCTACTGTGTGGTCACCAGCGGAGGTGTCCTGTGAGAATGTGGGGGCTGAACCATCCCCCATGAGCTGCCGCTGGCTCTGAACCAACATAATTTTCTCTTAGACTCCTCCATGCTTCCTCATGTCACCTTCTGCCTATTCGGGAAGCCCCTCCACATGACCCTAAGACTGGTTTCTTTCTGTTCATGACGTGCCTCCTCTGGGCTCTCAGAACATCTGGGCAGATGCTTGCCTCTTGGCTGGTTATGCAAGCTTGCAGTGCCTTGGGCAGCCTGCTAGCTCACAGTGCACAGCCCTAAAAGGGACCTAGAACTTTCTTTTGTGTTGCCTCACTGACCCAGTTCTGCTATGATCTAGCCTCAGCACGTCTACACACAGGTGTGTGTGTGTGTGTGTGTGTGTGTGTGTGTGCACATGCATGCATACGTGTGAGTGAGCGCTGCTGAGGTTCAGCTGGGAAGGGGATGACCTGCTGGGTGGTGGAGAGGATCAAGGGCATCTCCAGTCTCAAGGTGGCTGTGGCATCAGCTTGTAAAAAGGAAGACAGTTCCACCACATGCTACGAGACGGACGGATCTTGAAGGACATGTTGCTCATGAAAAGGACAAATCTGTGATTCCATTTATATGATATATTTAGTGTAGTTAAACACAGACAGAAAATAGAGTGGGGGTTGCCAAGGGTTGGGAGGAAGGGCAAGAACTTTGCGATTAATGGGGACAAAGCTTTGTAGATGGATGGTATCAAGGACAGTACAACTGTGACAATGTATTTTTCTTTCTTTCTGAGACAGGGTCTCACCACAAGGCCCTAGCTGGCTAGAAATTCACTATATAGGCCATGCTGGCCCTGAGCTCACAGAAATCTACTTGGCTCTGCCTTCCAAGTACTAGGATTAAAGGTGTATGATACCATGCCCAGTTGCCAATGTCACAAAAAAAATTTATGTTTAAATATCATGGGAGGTCTGCCCCTTTCTGAACGGAGATGGAGGAGGAGTGGATGGGGGGGTGATAGATGGGAGGTAGAGGAGAGAATGGGAGGAGAGGAGGGAGGGGAAACTGTAATTGTATGTAAAATAAATAAAAAATGTCTAAGATGATGGGATGGCCAGTCTTCGTTGCCAATGTGACTAGATTTAGAGTCACTAAGGATTCGATGAGACACACCCCTGGGTGAGTATGCTGAAGGTATTTCCAGGGAGTTACAGTAACTGAGAGGAAAAGACCCACTTTGGATATGAGTGGTACTGTCCCATGGGCTGGGGACCTAACTAAATAAATGTTAGGAAAATACTTTTGAAATTTTCTTTCTCTGCTTCCTGGTTCACCATGACAGGAAACACTCTGTTCCACCACCCCGTCTCAGTCATGAGGGAGTAAACTCTTTCTCCCAGTCAGGTATTTTAGGTCATAGTGATAGAATAGTAACCATCAGAAAACTGGTAACAGGAGTGGGGTTGTTACTGTAACTAACCCTGACCATTATGCCCCTAGAAGTTTGTAGGAGGAATTAGAAAAACTCTAGGATGTTCTAACCAGAGTTTATTGGGCCATTCTGGTTGGAGCGTGGAAGATCAGAATGCTGACAGGAATTTGGACAGTAAAGACTGTGTGCTTGAAGTTTCAGTGGATGCAAGGACTCCTTTGGAAATTAGACTTTTATTCATGTTATATTCGTTCATGTTATATTCTGGCAAAAATCACTGTCTACATCTTGTCTATTTCCCTGTCATGGATAATTTTTAATGATCAATCTGAAATACCTGCAATGACCTGAGAAGCAACTCTCAGTGAGAAGCTGTCTGGGTCAGGTGGACCTGAGGGCATGTCCGGGGGATTATCTTGATTATATTACTTGAGATGAGAAGACCCACTCATCTTGGCACCATTATCTGAGTAGGGAAGCTTGAATTGTATAAGACTAGAGATGAGGAGGTGGAGAGATGGCTCAGTGGTTAAGAGCACTGGCTGCTCTTGCAGAGGACCTGGGTTTGACTCCCAGCACTCACGTACTGGTTCACGACCATCTGTAACTTCAGTTCCAAAACATCCCATGCCCTTTTCTGTCCTCTATGGGCACTGAATACATGTGGCATACAGACATATACATAGGCAACACTCATACATTAATAATAATAATAATAATAATAATAATAATAATAATTTTAAAAGAGTGTATAGAGATGAGCTCACACACGCGTGCATTCATTACTTTTTGCCTCCTGACTATGACGGCAGTGTGCCCAGATGTCTCAAGCTCCTGTCATTGTGACTTATTATGACGGACTGTGGCCTGGAACTCGGAGCTAAAACACACCTTGTATCCCTTGGGTTGTTTCTGTCAGGTATTTATCACAGTGTGCCGGACAGTTTCATGTCAGCGTGACACAAGCTAGAGTCATCTGAGAGGAGGGAACCCCAGCTGAGAAAATGCTTCTGTTAAGACTGGGCTGTAGGCAGGCCTGGAGAGCATTGTTTTAAATTCGTGACTGATGGGGGAGGGAGGGCCCAGCCCGTTGTAGGTGATGCCATCTCTGGGCAGGTGGTTCTGGCTTCTATAAGAAAGCAGGCTGAGCAAGGCAGTAAGCAGTACCCCTCCATGTCGGCCTCCACGTTCCTGTCCTGTTTGAGTCCCTGTCCTGACTTCTTTCAATGAACAGTGATACGGCAGTATAAGGCAAACTCATCCTTTCATCCCCACCTGCTTTTGGTCATGGTGTTCCATTGCAGCAACAATAACCCCAACTAAAACAAACAGCAACTGGGAAGATATTAAGCAAGTCTCAAAACATGGTGAGAGGACTCGTTTAAGGGTGACAGATGAATTAATTTAGCCAAAGAAGTTCCAAGACAGCACAGCATTGAGGCTGTGGCACAGTTAATGCTGCCCACTTTTAGCCAAGTTTATGGTAAAAATGAGCATTCAAAAACAAAAGCAGAGCAGAAGGATTTGAAAAACATGGAGTCCTCTCACAAAGGTGATCAACTGAAAGCTTGAGAAGGATTGTTTCGTAGATCGGCACTAACTATCAAGGAAGCCCAACCATTTTGAACTAGGACAGCAGGGAAGGAGTTAGACTCTGGGGCGTAAAAGTGATAGCTCGTTTGGAAGATTTCCCTTGGCAAACACAGGGCCACCCAGGGAAGTGTTTTTCTGAGTTCAGCCACCTGGGCACTGAGAGGCTACTGAAGCCATGGCCCAAGGGGGGGCCATATACTGCTCAAGTTGGTGTCAGACCGTGGTATCATCTACACGGTGCTGGTTTGCAGGTATGCAGGGTGCAAGAGGCCTAGGTCATGGAGCTTCACAGGGGCTCACAGTTGAGCGCTTCCTTGAGTCTCAGAGGAGACTCTGAAAGCAAGACGTTTGAAAAACATCAGAACTGTTAATAATAATTTTTTTTTTTGAGACAAGGTTTCTTTGTGTAGCTTTGGTGACTGTCCTGGACTCTCTATAGACCAGGCTAGCCTCAAACTGACAGGGATTCTCCTGCCTCTGCCTCCCGAGAGCTGGGATTAAAGGCGTGCACCACCAATGCCCAGTTAGGGAAGGCTTTTTAACCCTGCTTTGTAGGTGGAGAATCAGAGGACAGAGAGAACTGGGGGTCTAATCTACAATGTCATTGTCACCAGGATCAGGTAGAGGCTGGGACCTTGGTCTGTATAGGGAGGCAGCAGGACACCAGGGAGGCCAGGCCAGGTGATATGACGGTGTGCATGTGTGTATACACTTATTCCTGTACCTCCCTTGGCGGAGCTGAGAGAACATAAAAATGACAGAGGGGCATCTCCTGGGCCCCCTTTCCTCCCACAGATAGTTAATCTATGTGGCAGAAAGGACGAAGCTGTGTAGTCAGATGGGTAGTGCTTGCCACTGACAACTGCTAGCTGTGAGCCTCAGGCCAGAGCCGAGGTATCTTTCCTTGGTGGGGCAGAGAAACAGGAGTGTAGGGGGACATGCGTTCAAGACAAGCACACTGCTCAGTGCCCCCAGGCTCACCGACTCAAAGGCCATGGAGATCCACTGCACACGGCCCTCCTTGACACCCACTGCCCCGTGGGATAGCTGCCCTGGCAGCAAGTTGGGCTCAGGCAGCTCCTTACACTCGGGGTGCAGCATCTGCAGGAAGGAGGAGATGCTGTACCCTGTAGGAAGAAGCAAGAGGAGGTTGTGACGGGAAGAGTGGCCGGACCCACACATTACACCCTCACCTGCCTCTCAAGCTCCCAATGTGTCTGCAAACACTGGGCGGTGTCGTTAAGAGTCCTACAGCCCACACTTGCCGCTGAGGTGGGAAGTAACATTTTGGATCACCTCAGCCAGGTAGTCTTTGGACCAGCAACTGGCCTTGCTCTCAATTTTGGGAGAGCCCCCCCTTGAGGTATTCCTATACATTACACTAGTACACATATCACGCCTTAGGCATGTGTGCCCATCTATTCGCAAGCCCGTGCATATCGGGAAAGTGTTTGTATAGAGTTGTGAGCGTTGTATAGGCACGCTCCAGCACAGACATCCAAACACTAGGCATGCACTATTGGGCTGTGTCCTGTGAACCAGGACCTCACATACCTGAGGGCAAGCACTGGGCCCCGCCTGGCTTCACCAGCTCCGAGTTGCCCGCGATGGCCTTGCAGAGGCGACACAGGTGCCCGATTTCTTTGAAGAGGTCAAAGCTGCTGTCGTAGATGACGCTGCCCTTTCCCAAGGAGACACACCGGCCCGGGCACTCAGTGAGTTGTGGACTCAGTCCCAGGCTCCCCTTTCCCACCGTGGGCTCAGACCCTTCAGCCGCTCCCCTTAACTTTATTACCATGTCACCCCCTCATGTGGTACCCACTGTTCCCCTTGCTCTGCCCTTCTGGTGCCTCTGCTCCAGTAATAGCTCATCCCGCAGTCCCCTGCCCTTGTCTCTGTTCTTCCTCTCAACTGGATGCAAGGCTTTTCTCCTTTGCTCTATCTTGCCTGCCTGTCCCCTCCTCGGTCTCCCACCCCTGCTCTGCACATGGACAGTGTCCATCTGCACTGCAAAGACAGAGCTCACCTTCTTCCTGTTGTTACAAGCATGTGCTGCCATGCCTGTGCCCAACCCAAACATGACCTCTAGTGACATTTTAAGTACACCTGCAAGGTCGTTCAATCACACACGTTCAGTGATGTCTACATACTTCACCCCAGAGGAGGACCAGAGGACAGGTTTCACATGTGACTCCTCTCATCTCTGTTCCCGCCCCTAAAGGGGCCATATAGCCAGCGTGGGTCCCCAAATGTACCCATATTCCTGAGTAATTCTCAATCAGTTCTGCTCAGTCCTCCAGGGGAACAACGCCCCCTCAGGGCTGTCATGAGTGTAAGTGAAGGACTGGACGGGCAAGCCATGCACACGTGCCAGTTTTCAAGGTTGCTGCTGCAGCCGGGCTACACCTGTCCAAAGTGGCCGTACCGGGTCCCCGATAACGTGGTTGTCCATCTGCTGGGTGCGGTTGATGCCAATGATGCCAAAGACCACGAAGACCATGGCCCCGGTATCCACCAGTGGCCGCACTGCTGGCTTCCCACAGCCTGTGTTCACACAAGGGTTGAAGCCAAAGGTGGCAGAGATGCGGGCCTTGGGCACTGCAGGGGGGAGTCAGAGCCAACACTGAGGGGAGGGCCCAGGCTTCTGAGGGCCCCCTCGGTCCCCCCAGGGATGTGCCCCGACAAGTACCTTTGTCACTAGGCACAAAGAAGAAGCCTTTGGTGGGCCCATCGGGGCTGGAGCTGAGCAGGCACCCAGGTGGCGCCACACACAGGCGCCCGTGGAAGGGGGGCTTGTGAGACTGGGCAAAGTACAGCTTCCTGTGGAGGCAGGGAGGCCAGGCTGAGTCGGGAAGGCCAAGAAAACTCAAAGGATGTGAGGTGAGGTGGCCTGGCTGGCCTAGGAAGTCCAGGAAAGGTTGGGGAAGACAAGGCAAGGAGACCATTTCAGGGGTCACAGAGGGTGGGAACCAAGCTGTGTTTCCCCTGGCACAGGAGCAGAGGGTACCCAGGGCTGGGAATCTCATGGCTTGCTTTATCCCTGACTTTGCCAAGACTAACTTGGCCCTGATCAAGGCTCTTCCCTCTGGCTCTCAGTCTCCCACACTGGCACAGGTTGGGGAGCACAAAGGTCCAGCTTTGGAACAGCCCTCCAGAGTTCAGGAAGGACCTAGGGCCGCCCTTAGTGTCCCACCTCAGCAGCCTATAGACCCATTGAAACCCGAGGAGTCAAGGAGCCTTGAGTTTGCCACTGGCTTCTAGTTTCTTCTAGAATGCTCATCCAGGGAGCTGCTAGGCTCCGGGCCACATCTGTGCATACAGAACAAGCCCAGCCCTGGGCTCAGCCGCAGTCAGTCCACCCCGAGACAAGGATGTTTGGCTGGAAAGGACCTCGCTAGAGCCACCTCAACACCTGCTGCCTCCTGACTTCACCTCTCTGCTCCAAATGAAGTCAACCTGTGGCGATGGGGGAGCTGAATGCCCTGATGCCAGTTCCCAGTCAGACCACAATGCCCAGGCAGCACACTAGTGTAGGCGTGGCACTGAGATACCCTCCTGGAATGGGGCTGGGCTGCTCCCGAGTGTGAATCCTAGTCTGCCAGCATGCAGCTGCCACTTGGTAGCTGCCTGTCTCCCAGAGAGATGCTCGCTACCCCACCCTGCCTCCAGCATGCGGACACACAGCTCACATTTGGTGTTAGTGAAATGAATGCCTGAATACTTATGACAAGACAGCCTTACCTGATAAATAAGGCTGTGTTCATAACACAAGGTTATAAAGCTGGGGACATGACTGCCTTGGGGGCTTGAGACTCCATGTGGTGCAGAATGTAGCTCTCATTCAGCAAGAATTAGGTGCCTGCTGCATGCCGGGGGGGTGGGAGACTGAGTGTAAAGCAGAAACTGCACCGGATACAGTCTGTGCCATTCCCCGGCAGTGTAGGAGAGGGCGCAGGAAACCAGCTGCTTGCTTATTACAAGTGAGTGAGAACCTCGGACAGGAAGTGTGTCACACACTCATCCGGCCAGTGGAGACCTACTGAGTGCCAAACACCACACCAAGTGTGGGATGCACCAGAGCAATCGCTCAGAGCGCCCCGAAGGGCACCTTTCCTGGGGTGGGACAGGTCACGTGCCAGACCAACACGCCTGCATGGAGAGCCTGGGGTGATGTGCGATGGGGCAGGGGCTCTGCTCAGGGACAGCCTCCCCCAGGGGTGACATCAGGCTAGAAACTTGGATCTGGAGAAGGGAAGCTCAGAAGGACTTGAGCAGAATGTTCCGAGTACAGGAGACGGTGACCGCCAATGCCCTGAGGTGAATCCAAGAGATGGCCATGGTGACAGGAAAAGCAGAGCTGACAGGAAAAGTGACAGACTGGGCTTGGGGATTGTGGGCCAGTAATCTTTGCTAATATCTCCTTGCCTAGACTGAGAGAAGCGAAGAGAAGAGAAGGTCTGGGCGGTGCACACAGGCCTATCTGCCCAGCTCTTACCGGGTATGCTGTTGCTCCTTGGTGGCCACATAAAAGCTGAAGTCAAACTTCCAGCCCCGCTTGGCGTCGCAGGCCAAGGCCGTCACCATCCACTTGCGGGAGGGGCTCGCCGCCTGGAGCAGCCCTACTGTAGACATACAAGCGGTCAGCTTCTTGGTGAAGTCACCAAAAGGCGCTCTATACACCTAAGCAATGGGTTGACAGAGACAAGACACGTGACTCGGGGAGGCTGCCTGGGCCTGCCCGGCCTCAAGGTCTGTCCCCTCCCTCCTTGGCCTGTCTCCCACCCTGTCCTGCTTCCCAGAGCTCAGAGGCCTAGGCTTGAACTTGAAAGCTGGGCAACCCTTCCTCTCTCCCTTTGCTCCCTTTCTCTCGGAACCTCATTTCTTTCCATCAAGAACTTACTGGGCTAGGCTTAATTGTCGACTTGACACAACCAAAAGTCATTTGGGAGAAGAGTCTAAATGAAGGACCCTCTGCACTAGGTTGGCCTGTGGGGGATGTCTCGATTAAGTTAACTGGTGTGGGAAGAGCCAGCCTACTGCGGGCAGCACCATTCCCTAGAAAGGGGGTCCTGAACTGCATATGAATGGAAAAGCAGAGCTGAGTACAAGCAAGTGAGCATGCATGCATTTATTTCCCGCTGTTCTTGACTGGAGATTTGATGTGACTAGCTGAAGTTCTTGCCTTGATTTCCCCACAATGATAGACTGGTAGCCTAGAATTGTCAACTGAAATAGACCCCACCCTTTCTCCTCTAAGCTGCTTTGCATCAAGGCATGTTATCACAGCAAGGGAAACTAGGAAACTAGGTGTCTCCCTGGGACAGGTTCTGTCCCTGGATCTAAGGACCAAGCCTGGGCAGGAAGGGCAAGGCCCCGCCCTCATGGACATGGCAGTGGGGATGCTGTCAGATTCCAGATGGGCCAGAGTCAGTCAGACAGGACCATCAGGTGAGAGAAGGGGCAGGGGAGAAGGGCATTCCGAGAAGGGAGGTCAGGCAGGGGCGTGGAGGGAGGGAGGGCATTTGTGGTGGACAAATCTGACCAAGTAGGTTCTTCTGTGCCAGATATCTGGACGGTGGGAAAGGGTAAAGGGACAAGGATAGTCCTCCTGTTGAGGGGACACTGTCTCTGGGTGAACCTGGGAGGCTGTCTTCTGGGCAACCTCTTGGTTATAGGATGAACTATGGGCTGCCAGCGGGGATACTGCGTTCCATCTGTCAGGTGGCACACAACTCTTGTTCCCTGTCCACCCAGCAACATCTTTTAAACCCCATTTCATAGATGAGGAGACAGAGGCTCAGAGAAACTGAATCACCTGCTCAATAACATGCAAGTTGCACATGCCAGAGCTAGGACTCAAACCCAGGTCTGCCTGGACGTAAGCCCCGTAACACATCTGACTGCTATGGACTGGACCTCGTGTGCCTGGAGCAGCTCAACCCTCAAGGGCCCTGCTCCCTGCCTACATGGCCGGTATCCACCAGCATGGCACCAGTGATAACTCCCTGACAGCTGAGGCTCACCTGGAAGGATGGCACCTCTCCATCTCCAGGGGATACAGCTTGCCAGGGGGCTGGTAGGCTGGCATTGAGGGACAGCCTGTAGACAGCCGGGCGTCCTTTGCTCTTCACTTTGGAGATGTACACGGTGCTCATGGACTCTGAGAAGAAGCAAGGGATGGAAGAGGAGTGGGTGGTGACCTTAACAGCTTCAGGATGGGACAGAAGTCCACCTTAGCCCTGTTGGTCGAGGAGCTGAGCGCTGAGCTTGGGCTCCTCCTCAAGGGGTTGACACGGGCCCATCCTATCAGAAAGGGTCCACGGGAATGATAGTGGGAGGTGAAGGTAATGGAATGAGATCGTGGTGGTGACGGTCATTGGGCAGGGTGGTGACAGTGATGGTGGCAGATGGCAGCAGTCACAGAGTCACACAAATGATGTTGGAGACACCAGCAATGAAGTAGGCTGGTGTTGCCATCCATGGGATACAGTGTCAAAGATGGGGCTAGGTCTGTAATGGCAATGGTGGGAAGTGCTGGTAACAATAAAATTGGGAGACAGGGAAAGGATAAAGATAACCGTCCACTAGAGTCACTTCCCCTTGTCCCAGCACTCCTTCCGGAAATCCCCGAGAGATGAATCAAAGCTCAGGACACCCTTATACTGACTCTCAGAATGGCCTTGGTGACCAGGAGGCTGCAGTTGGCAGAAGAGGCCTTGAGCTCTCCTTGAGTTCTGGGGGCTGTTGAGATGGCAGATGGGGACCCTGATTTTTCATATGTTGTCCCTTAAACAACCCAAGGACACAGGTTCTTGTTCCCATGGAGGGAGGATCTGTTCTCTAGGTGTGATCTGTTCTCCGTGTGGAGTCAGACACGGGAGAACCAGGCTGCATCTACCCGCCCACCCCACTCACCCTGCGCAGTGGCCTCAGGCCGGCTGGCCCAGGAAGCCCCAGAACCTCGCTTCTTCTTCTCCAGGGATGTCCTGACATTGTTCTGCAGGCTGTGGGGCTTCTCCTGGAACAGACCTGCCCCCACACACTGAGTCAGGGACATGGGGATCCCTCTGGCCACGCCTGGTGGTCTAGGAGAACAGGCCAGGATCTGTGAAGGGCCCAGAGGCTGGGAGGAGTGGCTATCAGTGGTTTGAGGGAGAGTCAACGGAATCGAGAAAAACATCAGATGTTTATTTTGTCCCCATCTGGCGATGTCCCCACATGCCCACTCTGCGCCTCACTTTCCCAATTATCAGGGGAGGGTAAGGCTGGGAAACGGCCTGCCTTGTCGTAGCACGACAGACAAAATGTTGGTTTAAACTGAGAGAAATTCCACACATTACAATATCAGCCCTCAGAACCACCAAAGGTCAGGGTTATTAATCGCATCGGCAGAGGAGAAAGTCGTAGTTTCGGGGACCAGGGACGGCATAGGAAATGAGAGGAGTTTGGGAGAGGCTGCCCTTTGTAGATCCATAGCCCTCTTTGCTGCCACACAAAGAAGGGGGTGAGGTGGTTCCCCTTTAGATGGCTGCTCTGGCATCTGTCCAGCTGGGAAGTGGCAGGGGTCAGGCGGGGGGTCCCTGGGAGTGTGTGTTGTGAACATGGAGAGCGGCTGAGACCCGGGGGCTGAGCTGGGGCTGACTATGCTGTCTGCTCCGGTCTGCTATCATGCATTCGGCTCATGCCATGACCAAGGGGGGAAGTCTGGGTTAATGGGAACAACGCCCTAACTAAGTGAAGGCAATTACAGCACTAGCAGCCGGGCTCCTCTCCCAAGCTGCAGCCACTTAGCTCGGTAAAGCAGTCTCTCATTCTGGTTCTGCCTAGCAGGGCAGAGTGGTTTCACTTGCTCACCTTTGCCGCACCCCCCACCCCTGGTCTCCCTGTCCCAAGCAAGGGCCTTGACCTTGGAAGCCACTCTTCCCCCTCTTGCTCATCAACACCTACTGTGTCATCCTCATAGAGGTACCAAATCTCTCCTAAAATTGACTCTTGAGCCCCTCCATGGCTCCTCCAGAGATGGTGCCAGCCTCCTGCCCACCTCCAGCTGGTCCATCAACCCAGCTCCCCACCAGGATGCTGCTCCTCCCATCAACACGTGGACCAGTCTCAGCTCCTGCAGCCACTCCTCTCAGGCTTGGCTCTGCTCTTCCCCCATCACCGCCACTGCCCGCAGCCTAGAGCCCTCTTTCCTTGCCCCTTCCCACCTGGCCTCACTGAGCTCCTTCCTCTCCTTCGGGCTAACCCATGCCTTCTCTCCCCTGCTCTATTAGCTTGGTGACTCTCATTCTTTAAGTCTCTGCTTAGACACCACCTTCGGGCAGCCCTCCGAGATATCCATGCCCACAGAGCACTCTCTCCTCCCTCCACAAAGGCTCCCTTCTGCTATTGGGACAGTGTGTCCCCGACTTGGCAGTGTGGCCCCCCGAGCCCGGGATGTCTGTCCCTCCTGCTCACTGCATCTCTGCAATAGTCAGGCCAACAGTGGGCTCAGACACCACAGGATGTGGGCTCAGCCGGTGGGGATCCTCACCTGAGCAGGTGATGCAGGAGATGCCCTCGGCACTCAGGTTGTACTTGAGGTCCAGCAGCACCTGGATGTTGGTGTCAGGCCGGAAGAGCAATGGGGCCCGGCTGGCGGGGCGGAGCCGACTGGCGAAGACCAGGGACAGGATGAGGATGGAGGCAAAGAGTCCTGTGAGGAAGACGTCATGGGAGGTGGATGAGGCTGGCACCCCACCCTGGCGGAACCGCTGTCAGTGTGGAGAGCGGGCAGTGGGGGAGTAGTTCCACCAGAGGCAGAGGCAGCTATGGCGTTTGTGGAGTTGCAGGGGCCCGGCTGTAAGGTACAAACTGACACTCCTCCACAGGGCCAGTGTGGCACTTTGAATGTAACTGAGCCCCCCATAATCTCATAGGGGGTGGCATGATTAGGAGGTGTGGTGTTGTTGAAGTGAGCATGGCCTTGTTGGAGGAAGTGCGTCACTGTAGACGCAGGCTTTGAGGTCGTATACACTCAAGATACTGCCCAGTGTCTCAGACCACTTCCTGTTGCCTACAGATCAAGATGTAGAACACTCAGCTCCTTCTCCAGCAACATGTCTGCCTGCACGCCGCCATGTCCTGCCAGGACGATAATGGACTGAACCGCTGAAACTGTAAGCCACCCCAAATGAAATGCTTTCCTTTATAAGAGTTGCCTCAGCCATGGTGTCTCTTCACAGCAACAGAAACCCTAGGTAAGACAGCCAGCTAGTGTCTCAGAGCATCTGACAGTCCCCATGGACCTGATACCTCCCCTTGACTGCAGCAGCTCTGATGAGCCACTGAAGAAGGCGAAGGCTCCTCATGCATACTGAGCACCTGGCATGCCCCACCTGTGCCAAGCTGAGACCTTTATAAACACATCACGCTCCTGAGAGCTGTCTTCCTAGACCCTTGAGACAGAACCCAGGCCCGGAACAGGCTTCTACCACCAAGCTATGCCCTACACCCTGGGCACCGTTACCACCTTCATTTTCAGGACAAGAACTCAAGTGTCAGACTGCCTGGCACAGCCAAGGTCGCGGTGGACAGAACCGGGGTTCAAACTCAGCCAGGCTAGTCTATTCCAGGGCTAAGCATGAGGACTTTGCTCTCCTGCCTGGCACAGGGCAGCCTGTGAGCTGTGTGGAGGAGGCCCAGGGGCAGCCTATGCAGGAAGAGGAGGAGGAGGCAGAGAAGAGGTCCCACGCAGGTCTCTAGGTGCTACTCCATACCCAGTGCTTGTTACTTGTTTCGTTGTTGTTGTTTGGTTGGTTTTGGTGGGGGTGTGTCTACCCTCATGCCACCATAGCGGTGGAGCCGAAGGAGGGAGTTGTTCACACTTACCTACAATCACCCAGCGGCTCTTGACAGCTGCCCATAAGACCCAGTGGTGCAACAGCTCTTGAAGCTGGGCCAGGAGCTGGCCCCTGCTGCTCCCATCGGAGGCGGGTTGCAGACCCTCACGGGGCACAGATACCAGCGACACGTCTCCCAGCTCTAGAGACACTGCTAGGCAGAGTGGTAGCCAGTCAAAGTCTGGGCCTCAACCTGCTCTGGCCCACACCTGCCTGGGGAAGGCCACACACCAGGTGAGGTCCCCACAGGCCATCTGGCCTGGCCCCCTTGGGACCCGCCCATCCTTGCACGTCCCTGGTCAGGCTGGCCAGCTCTCACCTGGCTCATCCTCGACATTTAGCAGGGGGATGTCATCATCCAGGTAGGGTAGCGGGCCCTGGGCAGGGCCACCCCCAGCCCGCTCTGGAGCTGCGAACAGGTCCCCAGGGAAATGCAAGGAGCTCTTGCGGCCGCACTTCTGGTGGCAGCTATGGAGGGCAGTGGACAGGCATGAGGCTAGGAGTCACAGCACCCAGAGAGGATGGGGCAAGGTCAGGAAATCGCATGAGCCCAGGCAGCACATGGCTGCCCCTGCCTCTCAGGAAAAGGCAGCCCCGACTACCAGAGCCAGTGCTGAGTTCTTCTGGGGCCATCTACCCTCAGCTGTCGCTCTTCCTTGGGGACACAAAGGGTCACGGCAGGTGAAAGAGCTGTTCTATGATACCCTATGCCTAGGTCAGAGTCCACATTTCCATAAGAGGCAGAGTAAGAGGACACAGGTCCTTGGGCCCTTGAGGGGAAAGATGGCTAAAGATGGTCAGTCCATAAGGACGCCCACCTCCTGCCCACATGTGACCACAAGCAGATGTTAGGCAACAGTTGTTCCCTCCCTGTCCCTGCCTAGCCAAGGGCTGAGCACACAGAAGCCCAGAGGGTTTGGAAAGAGAGGGCTGGGTGCTGTGGCTACTCAGGGTGTGAAGGGTGCAGGCCACTCACCTGCTCTGGCACGAGCTCTCCAGCGGTGCCATGTAGAGGCTCCAGAGGCCCAGGGCCGCAGGCATGGTGAACAGTACAGCCAGCCAGCAGCAGGTCACAATGAGGGACATGAACAAGCCGAAGTCATGCACAGCTGGAATCTGCAACCAGGAGGCACGAGGATAGGATAATAGCTAGGCTTGGCTGTCTCTACGGCCAGAGCCAACCCAAAGCTGGCTCTCTCCAGGATAAAGTAGGAACGGCTTGGCTGCGGGACAATAGCACCAGGTCTGGAGGATGCCAGATTCTGGGGCTCACTGGACACAGCAGCAGAGGAAGAGCTTGCTCCACCTGAGGGCAGAGACTCGGGTCTACCTGCAGCCAGCTGGGAACAGCACCTCGCCAGAGTAAACATCCCGAAGCGGCTATTACCCAAGTCAAGACACATGCCCCCAATCCAAGCTGCCAGTTGTTGAGAAGGAAGGGAAGTTTGGTACCCAGCAATGAAAGCAGGATACAGGATCCCCAGAAATCCCACAGGAACCTGCCTGGGGCCGTGGCGATTGGAGGAAACCCTCACCAATGAGCAGGTAGACCTGAAGTTTATAAAACCACCTTGCCACCTGCTCTTCTCAGCTCCAGAATAACCCACTGAGGGTCTGAGGCCCAGAGAGGTTTATGTGAGCTACAGGGTCAGGTCACGGAGTCTCTCAAAGATGTGTTTGTAGGTACACAGGACCCACTCAGGAATATGGAAGTGGGAGCAGCGACGGGAGGTGGGGGGAGGAGGAGAGAGAGGGAGAGGGACAGACAGACAGACCAACTGTATGAGGGATGAAAATGGGGCATGAGGTGCCAGGGAAAGAGCTCAAGCCAGGAGCGAGGAGACTGCAGAGGGGTCGCCATTTACCAGCTATGTGACCATGAGTCACTTTACCTTTCTGAGCCCCAAGTTTCTGTGCTAGGAAGAAAAGAGACGGTGACTATACTTTTATCTTGGGTTGTAAAGATCACATGAAAAGAGCTTCAGAACCTGCCGGGTTCCCCAGGGCCACGGCGGGGTACCTATTTGCGAGCACCAATTACTAACGGTACGATTGTAATCACCCCACTTGTTGGTTTTGGAATGGGTGGTTAATCACAGAGATGGACTTCGGGGTCACAGCAAGGGCCCTGAGATGAAGGTGCTGGGGTCAGGAGCCAGCCATGTGTGGGCAGATGAGAAGCCAGGACAGGGACTTTGGGGCAGGATTCCCACCTGGGAGAAGACATTGGCTGCGTAGGCAGCGGCCGTGGTCAGCGAGGTGAAGAAGGTGGCCTTGCCTGCTGTTTGAATGGTGTGGATCATCCTCAGCTGGGGGTCCTCCAGGTGGGTGGCCTGGCGGTAGGTGTTGATGAACACGAAAACATCATCCACACCTGTAGGAGGGAGGCCCAGCCAGAGGGCAGCTCAGCTCAGGCCCTGCTACTGTGCCCCTGAGGCCAGGTGTGGGACAGTCTGGCAGAGCACTGGCTTAAGGAGGGCTATCTGGCTACAGCCAAGCCCCACCAACCAGTCTCCTTGGCCTTACCCAGTGTCTCCAAGCCCCACCCACTATGGCCAAGCCCCACCCACCAGACTCCTTGGCCTCACCCAGTGTCTCCAAGCCCCACCCACTGTGGCTTAGCATCACCTACCATGTTCCTTGACCCCACTCAAGTCTCCAAGATCTACCCACAGTCTGAAGTCCCACCTGTGCCAGACTCCTTGACCACACTCACTGAATTCAAGCCCCATCCATCATGCTTTTTGGTCCCACCCAGCCCTCTTCCAAAGTTGAGTTGTGTTCCCACCACCTTCGTCACCACCCAGGATACCTTCTTGGAGAATCGGGAGTCCTGTGCTGCGGCTGGGAAAACTCACCAATGCCCACGATCACAAAGGCTGCCACTCCATTGAGGATGCCCAGGTACTGGATGCCAAAGACCACGTGGTAGAGGAAGAGGGCCACCAGGCAGCTGAGACCGATGCTGGCAATCCCGAAGAAGGATAGGAACACTGGGCAGTGGGAGGAGCATAAGGGCCATGGCAGGGCCCTCACAGAACACAGGCCCCCTTCAGTAACCCTGACCTCAGCCCCTCATCTTGCCCCCCCCACCACTCTGTCTGCTCCCAGTCAGGTGGAGGGACAATTGGCAGAATTTGAAGCCCTTCATTCCTACAGAAGGCCCGTGTGGCAGATGGGACGTCTTCCAGACAACCTCACAGACAAGGAGAGAATTGTGAGTGTTTTATACTGTGTGTCACCCGAGGGGATTAGCGGTCCCGCTGTGCAGAACCTATGTCTGGTTCACCACTGGATCCAGAGGTGTCAGAACATCGGGCATACAGCTAGTGCCCAATTAATATTTGCTGCATGGATGATTGCGTACCTTGTCCAGTTTTCTATCTCTGCTCACTTGGGCAAGAGCACACACCTACTGTATACAAGCAGCCGTTAGAGGCAGCTGGTGCAGGTGAGGAGGGGGCAGCGGTGAGGAGGAAGGTTATGGGCTAAAGGGAAGCTGATGTGGTACATAGAGTAGGCTCTCGAGTAATCCATAACAGACTAAAAATATCCCAGATGCCCCTACACAGTTGTCGTGGTGTCTGAGTGTCATCCGGCCCAGCACCGACAAGCCAGATTTGAGGCTATCCCGGAACGCTTGAGCAGGCTGGCACGTGCTGCGGGGAGAGAAGACGCTGGCTCACATGAGCCTTCCGGGATGCAGTACCTGAGCAGGAGGTGAGGATGTAGACCAGGGCTGCGATGCAGCTGCTGCTGATGAAGGCAAGGAGCATGTCGTTATTGAAGGTCCTGCGCACCTCGTAGTCGAAGAGGTCTGTGCCCCCATAGAGGACCTGGACTTTGCTGGTGGAGGGAGGCCATGGAGAAAGGAAATACAAGAGAGAGACTGAAGATGACTGTGGACACTTGAGAGCCGGAGCTGTGCCCTTCACCCACGGCAATTTACCTTGACTGCTCGTTAAAATCACTTGAGCTTCCAAAAGTCTTAATATCTAGGCCTGATGCCAAGCAAATTAAATCTTAATTTCTTGGGTGGAGCTGAACCAAGTGTTTGTCCCCTCCCCCAAATCTCCCAGGTGATACAGTGTACAGCCGAGGTTGATAGCCACCATTCTACACCAATAATAATCAGTGACAACCAACCCCTATGTCACCTTCAGTTCTCAACGGTCCACAGCAGAATCTAAAGACAATCAAACCGGCTCCAGATAATCCCATTTTACACTGCTGTTCAGTGTGCAAACTACAAGTTATTTATGGCAACAGAACCTACCAGGAAGATCAAGTTGCTTTCTCTCGGGTGAATGTGGATGTGGAATGTACACGCCTGCTCATATGTGTGTGAGTGCATGTGTGTGCAGACGCACTTGCGTCTGTGTGGAAGCTAATGTTGATGCAGAAAGTCTTCCTTGATGGCGCTCTCTGCCATATTCATTTTCAAGTGAACCCAGAGTCCTCTAGCACTACTAGACTGGCTAGCCAGCTTGCTCTGGGACTCCATCTCCACGTTACAAGATTTAGAATTACAGGTGGGCTGTGACAGTCACCTGGCGTTTATGTGGGTTCCGGAGAGCCGATTCCTGGTCCTCACAGTCAGGCAACAAACACTTAGCCACTGAGCAATCTCCCCAACCCCAAACTGTATTTTATTTATTTTTAGCTTTGTGTGACAGAGTCCCACTATGTATCCCTGGCTGGCTAGAAGGTGCTATGTATACCAGGCTAGACTTGGACTCACAGTAGTCTATCTGGCTCTGACTTGTGAATTGGCATTAAAGGCACACCACCATACCCAGTCCTCTCCAAACTGTATTTTTAAGAATTTTTTTTAAATTTTATTTGTGTGTGTGTGTGTCTTTGTGTGTGCCATGGATGTGTGGGTACCCACAGAGGCTCATGGAAGTTTTCAGATTCCCTGAAAATGGAATTACAGGTGACTGTGAGCCACCTGGCGTGCGTTCTGGGACCTGAACCCAGATCCTCTGGAAGAGTACTGTATGCTCTCAGCCACCGAGCAATCTCTCCGGCACCCAAGCTGCTTTAAGAGGCAAGCAAGAGTGACATTTTCAGCGGTGCCGGAGTGACAGCTTGATGTCTGGACTGGCCTTACCACCGCAACCACAGAAATATGAAAAAAAAAAAAAAAGGGCTGGAGAGGTGGCTGAGTGGTTACAGCACCTGTGCTCCTACAGAGAACCTGGGTGTGATCCCGGGTACCCATATGGTGGCTCACAACCATCCATAACCCAGTTACAGGGGATCCGACAAGCACTCACGTGGTGCACTTATATGCACGGAGGTAAAACATTCACATACATAAAAAATAAAAATAAATCAATCTAAAAAACTTTTAAAATATGAGAAAACATGAAATCGGACTCTGGACAACAGACCACAGAGGACCGTGATCCTCTGAGATAAGAGATAAAGTAGGTGCTATGGCTCCGGGGCAGGCGCCTGGACAGGGCTGTGGATCTGGGGCAGGTGCCTGGACAGCGCTGTGGCTCCAGGGCAGGCGCCTGGACAGCGCTGTGGCTCCCAGGCAGGTGCATGACAGCGCTGCTGTACCCAGGACAGCCTCGCGCATCAGTTACTAGATTCTCCAGTCACTGGCAAATTCCTTAAACTTGATGAAAACGGTGAGCCTGCCGATCCAAGAAGCTGAACCATGAGCTCCAAAGACCAAACAAGCACATGGACGATAGGGTGCATCACATGTGAGCTGCTCCGACACTCTCACAGGAGAAAAAAAAATGACAGAGGGAAAAGAGATGTCACATACCACAGAGCAAAGAGAAGAGTGACGGCAGACTTCTGGTAAGAAATGAAAGTCAGAACACGGCACAGCAGCCTCCCCAGACACTCAGGGGAAACCCAACCCAGAATTCTATACCCAGCAAAAATACATTTCAAAAGCAAAGGCAAAATCAAAACTCTGTCCACTATACAAGCCAGAAATTGCCTCTGGTATGCTCACATACTGAAGATGCTGAGGGGGCCCCTCAGGCCGACGGAAGATGAGAGCGTGCAGGAAGGAGGATCTGCAGTAAGGATAAAACGCACCAGAGATGAAAATGCCACGAGCAAGAAATGCAACGTTTCCGCTTATCTCTACAAAAGACAACTGGCCACTTAAAAATAATAAGGTTGTGTGGGGTTCCTAACAAACAGAACGTGGACCACAGTAGTGTGGAGGCCACAGGAAACCCAGAAGGCTATAACTGTGTGCTATGCTACCATCTCAAAGATACACCGTGATACTTAAGGAGGTACCCTATAAATCCTAAAGTAGCCACTGAGAGTTATGGCTAAAAAATAGGATTAAAATAAAAGCATAAGAAATAATTCACCCTGAAGAAATAAAAGAATTCCTCATTCCATCTGTTCAGCACCAGGGTCTGACGGTGTCAGCAAGCAAACGGGGAATGAAATGTATCTGTACTGAAAAGAAAATGTAGATCTGTCTTCATCAGTTTAACATATGCTTATCTGTGTGGAAAATGCAACGGAACCTAAAAAACAAAGCAGCAACAACAGAAAACCCTAAGTTTGACAAGGTCGTAGAACACAAAGGCCATTATAAATTTAAGTTATAAATTAACAGCTGGAGAGTAAATTTTAAAATTATATTATTATAGGAGCAAGAAAATAGAAACTTCTTAGAGATAAAATGAAAAATGAGGGCTGGAGAGATGGCTCAGCAGTTAAGAGCATTGCCCGCTTTTCCAAAGGTCTTGAGTTCAATTCCCAGCAACCACATGGTGGCCCACAACCATCTGTAATGAGGTCTGGTACCCTCTTCTGGCTAACTGTATAAATAATAAATAAATAAATATTTAAAAAAATGAAAAATGACATTAGATGTACCATGTTCATGGGTCCAAAGATGCAGTATTTTAAGGTGTCAATCACATTCAAGAGTCCAGCAGACTTTTCTATCTCCTGGTACTTGGGACTGAACCCAGGGCAACCACGTTGGAGAACTCCGGAAGTCTCTTAAGTTAAACATAGGCCCACCATGATTGCTCAGTCATTTTGCTCTGAGGCATTTCTCTAAGGCAAAAAGTATTTGCCCCTACAAAAATGTATACACCAACACTCACGGGAGCTTTATCTGTAATGGTTCAACCTGAAAGCAACACAAACACTCACTCGCCAACGTGTGAAGAGATGAACAAAATATGACCTCCATACAATGGAGTACTATTCCGTGTTCAACAATAAACTGTTGAAATATGGTAAAAAAACATGGGCACAATTGAGACTGGCTAGAAGGAATGAATGAGTTCCATCAAAAGAGATTATAAGATACTATGTATACAAAATTCTAGAAAAGGAATGTCTCTGAATGCTGGTAGAAAGCAGAAAGTGGGGGCTGGGAGATGTGGCTCGGCAGTTAAGAGCACGGTCTGCTCTAGCAGGGTTCAAATCTCAGTACCTGCCTGACAGCTGGCCCATGTCTGTAATTTCAGTTCCAGGGACATAGATGCCCTCTTCTGGCCTCTTAGAGCATTGCATGCATGTGGTGCATCTAAATACATGCAGACAAACGCTCGTACACATAAAATTGAACAAAACAAAAATGGAAACTGATTGCTAGGGCTGGGGCTGGGAAGCAGTTTGGAAGAGGGGTGGAGGAGGGTGAGACGGTTGTCAGTGGACATAAGGAAATGTGCTGGGAAATTCACGATCTTGACAGTGGATGTGTTAGGATTAAAATGTAAGTATATACAGTTGGTCAGGTGTCAATTATAACGCAACAATTTTTTTTATTTCCTTAGCCTCATATATAATAGCCAAGAAGAAAAGATCTCTGACTTTCTTATTTTGATGAATTAGGTAGATCATTTTCCTTTGAGTAAAAAATGCTGAAAGTTTAAATGAATCATTTGCTGTATATACATACATTTATACTTCCTTTACAGAGGGTCTTATGGGGAAGGGAGCCGGAGAGATGACTCAGTGGTTAAGAGCACTGGCAGGGCCTGCAGAGGACCTGGGTTCAGGTTCTAGCACTCACAGGGTGGCACAACCCACACGCGATACACACGAATGCACACGAAAAACACACACACATTTAAAAAACAGACAGATCAACCTAAATGCCCTTCGAGCGGAGAATGGATAAGGAAAATGTGGTACATTTACACAGTGGAGTACCACACAGAAAAAAATAATGACATCTTGAATTTTGCAGGCAAATGGATGGGGCTAGAAAACATCATTTTGAGTGAGGTAACCCAGACCCAGAAAGACAATTATCACATATACCCACTCATAAGTGATTTTTAAACATAAAGAAAACCAGTCCACAAATCACAATCCCAGAGAATCTAGACAACAATGAGGACCCTAAGAGAGACATACATAGATCTAATCTACGTGGGTAGTAGAAAAAGACAAGATCTCCTGAGTAAATTGGGAGCATGGGGACCTTGGGAAAGGGTAGAAGGGGAGGGAAGAGGCAGGGAGGGGAGCAGAGAAAAATGTAGAGCTCAATAAAAATAAATAAAAAAATAAAAGGAGGGGCTGGAGAGATGGCTCAGTGGTTAAGAGCATTGCCTGCTCTTCCAAAGGTCCTGAGTTCAATTCCCGGCGACCACATGGTGGCTCACAACCATCTGTAAAGAGGTCTGGTGCCCTCTTCTGGCCTGCAGGCATACACACAGACAGAATATTGTATACATAATAAATAAATAAAATAAATATTAAAAAAAATAAAAGGAGAGGAAAAACAGTCATTTTAAGAGAGCCGCAATGGACAGACAAGATGGCTCGGTGGGTAAGGGAGCTCCGTGGGTGGTTCTGGAACCCACCTAAGTGGAAGGAGAGAACAAATTCCTGCAAGCTGTCCTCTGGCTTCCACATGCACACAGGGCATGCATGTGCCCACACATGTTCATATACACATAATGAACAAGCGTAATAAAAATTCTCAACAAACCACAGGAACAACAAGAAAGAGTTGCGGCTGACTTCTCTACTGAAAACGATGGCAGCCGCGAGACAATGGAGCAGCGTCTTTAAAACAGAGAACAAACACAGCTGCCAATTTGGGACATGGCACAAGTGAAGTCGATTAGAGAAATGAACGTAAAATAAAAGTGCTTTCCAGGCAAACAAAACAGAAGTCACCATCAGCAAATCTGCACTCAGAGAATAGTAAAAAAGAATTCTTCAGACACAGAGAAAGTGGTCCCAGAGGGAAGCATGAAACCGTAGAAAGTAACGAGGAGCAACAGGAAAGGTAAACACGAAGATAAAGCAGAAGTGAGCAGGTTCTGCAAGACAGAATGGGCTGGGGGGCTTTAAATGTACGTACAATTAAAACGCGCACAACAAAACCACAGGAGGATGAAGACAGCAAACACCACGGACTGTTCTCAGTCGCTGGTGTTACCAACGAAGCCAGAAAAGCGACGCTTCGTGTAACTCCGCGTTAAGTCAAGGTGTGTTTTCCTCCTGAGTCACCAATAATTCGACAAGAGAAAAGATTCTGTGAATCTGAAAGAAGGCATTAAAATTAAATCCTCAGGGCCTGGCTCTCACTTCCTGCTAGGAAGTGCCAGGGCAAGGCCTTGAACTTAGCAGCCAAACATTTCAGCAGAGGTAGGTGTTACCCACACACAGGCGCACATGGGCGTCGCTGGACTTCCTACCTAGTAGACTGCTTGGCTAGCATGGCCACGTAGGTGACCACAAAGCTCTGAAACTTGGCCCTCTGTTCCTCCCAGCGATCATCTACTGAGTAGTAGTTGGGGAGCGGGGCTCCAAACAGGATCTCGCTGCGCAGGAGGGAGCTCTTCAGATTATCCACCGAGAGGCCTTCATCTACGTACCAGTAGAACTCGGGGTGAGTCATGGCCAGCTCTAGGGAGCCTGCAGGGGACAGGGAAATCCAAAGAGCTCAGTGCACAGCTCCCGCCAGCAGCCCTCCTTCCACTACAACATCCGACACAGGATCTACAGCTTCCTAAGGATGAGCCTTCTTTGCCTGAGCAGGCAGTTCCCACTAAGCAAATTATGCTTTCATTCTAGTTTGAACCCCACCTGATTCCAAGGCTCAGTCTATAATCCTGTTAAATCCCTATCCTGCCTGCGCCCTCCCTCCATCCCAGACCCTACTCTCTAAAGCCCGACCCCCAGGATACTCTAAACCTTATGTCTTCATATTTCTCTGTGTCCTGGCTAGTGTTTTGTTTTGTCTTGTGGTTTGACACAAGCTAATGTTAGCTGGGAAGCTGGGAAGCTGGGAAGAGGAACCTTGACTTGGAAAACTGGTCCATCAGATTGTTTGTAGGCAAGCCTGTGGGAACATTTTCTTGATAATTGACAGAAGTGGGCGCTATTCTTGGGCAGGTGGTCCTAGGGTGTTTAAGAAAGAAAACGGAGCAAACAAGCCAGAAAGCAGCGGTCTTCCATGACCTCTGCTTCAGTTCCGGCCTCTAGGTTCCTGCCTTGCCTTCCTGCCCTGCCTTCCTTCGATGATATATCATGATGTCGAAGTGCAAGATGAAATAAACTCTTTGCTCTCTAAGTTACTTTTAATTACAGTGTTTTTTATCACAGCAATAGAAACCTAACTAAGATACACTTCCTTCCAGGCCCTCTCTAACCAACCCCACCCCCAAGTGTTTCTTCGTGCTTTCTCTCTGGACTCAACCAAAGTCCCAAAGTCCCACAGTCCCAGTGGCATCCTATTCTGTTGCTTTCTCTCCCTCTTCCTTCCAATCCCAGCTGCACACCCCACTGATGTCACACCCCCTGGCCACGCTCAAGCTCAGCGAAGTCCTTTGCCATCAGTGCACCTGCTCACCCCGGATATCCGCCAGGTCCTGGCCCATGCCGTCGTAATAGATCTTGCCGCCCCTCTCGGTGGGAAAGAAGTAAGTCATGAGTGAGCTGGGCGGGGAACAATAGGAATAGGAGCCGAGAGGTAGGTCCTTGAGTACCTCGTGCGGCTTCCAGCAGAACTCCCGGAAGCCCGGGTGGTCCATGATCTTTCGTTCGATCTCGTGGATCGTGACCAGGCGCTCGCTCGTGAAAATGTTGCGCTCCGCGTCTCCCCGCGCCAGGAAGATGAGCTCGATGCGCCAGTGTGCGTGGGTCTGGGTGTTGGCGCTCACATAGGTGCGTGAGTAATCCCAACGCGAGGTGCCCCGACGGGATCGGCTCTGATTGGCTACCTGGTCCCCCTGGGGCGGAGCCTGGCGTCGATGTCGCTCACTCGGACTGGCTGTTGATCTCTGAGTGGCAGGGGTGACCCTCGAAGCTGAGCGAGGGGTCCGGGATGCCGGTCGCGAATGATTCCCCAGGTGCAGCTGCTGCAGTTGCTCTGTGATGAGGCGCTGCAGCGTTTCGGAGGTGAAGTCCGCCAAGTCCCGCCTGTTGCGTCCCCAAGATCCAAACTGGGATTTGAGGGCCAAGGCCAGAGCGTCGAAGCGCTGCGACGCCTCATGGTTGCGGATTTCGAAGGCATTGTAGGAGATGTCGATGTCCAAAGGCGGGTAGTAGAAAAACATGAAGGCAGACAGCACCATGGGGATGCTGCAACCGAGGAACAGCACCAGACCTGCGCAGCATGGGTTGGTGAAGGCCCAGCCCAGGGTGCTCCAGAACCCTGAGGCTGGGGGCCGGGAAGGCAGCGTCCAGCGTCTCCAGCAGCCCTGTGCTCCGGAGGGCAGCTGTGCCCCAGAGACACCTCTATAGGCCTCACCCGAGGTCTCCTCTTCCTGCTGTTCCTCGTCTAGCCACACATCCTGCAGCAGGGGGTCATCCTCCGAGTCCATAGCCTAGGGGAAAAGGATGGGTCAACAGCCTTGAGAAGGGAGGCTTCGCCCAGCCTGAGTACCACAAGCAGATACCAGTTCCGCGGTGGGATCGAATTACGTGCTCACTATGGTCTAAGGAACCCAAGCATATGTGCACGTACCAGGAAAAACACAGCCCGTCGTCCCTCCCCGCCCCCCCCCAGGAAAATTGGTCTTGGATTTCAAGACGGGGAGGGGGTTGCTGGGGCTGAGGATAGGGTTCAGTGGTTAAGAGCACTGACTGCTCTTGCAGAGGACCCAGGTTCAGTTCACATCACACACACACACACACACACACACACACACACACACGGCATCTCACAACGATCTGTACCTCCAGTTGCAGCGGATCAGACTCTAAGGGGCACCAGGCACACAGGTGTGCACACGCATACATGCAGACAAAATAGCCATGTGCATAATAATAAAGAAAAAAAGGAGACTCATAAGTCAATTGCAACAGAAAAAAAATTCTTCTTGTGTGTAAAAGCCAGCCAAGACTTCTGGCTATACGTGATTATGTGATTTTTCAATCTTTGCTGCGTTCTCTGTCCAACTCCAGAACTCAAGGCCAGTGTAAGATGTGGTTCCATAGCAACTGTGTGTGTATAATGAGCAACTGTAAAGCACCTTCAGGAGTTTGTCAGGGTAGAGGGAGAGAAAATGATCTCTGGAGTCAGACAGGCCCGGGTTTGGGTCCTGGCAAGACTTGCAGCCACCCTGAATTTCAGAGTTACCCTCTATAAACATTCCTGTCTCAAAGGAGTGTGGGGTCAGAGGTGGAAGTACTTTGCAGGCTGTCAGGCAATCACAATTCTTTTGTTCCCCTTTGGAGACTGTAACGCCCTCAGCCATTGCCCAGGGGACTGTGCCAGGCAGGTGTCTGCCACAGGGCCCTCCGTCTATCCCCACCCCGTCCCTGAACGCGGCAACAGCTGCTGCAGCAGCCACCATTTGTCAGTCTTAGACCACTTAATATGCAGCCCCGGCAACTGGCAGCCCTCTGAGCGCAGGCAGGGGCTAGGCATCTCTCAGAGAGATGTGAGGACTCCCATGGGGTGGCCCAAAGGCCACCTTCAGTGTCACTGGGATGGCCTGCCACCTCGATGGAGGGAGACTCCTCATCCAGATAGACAACAGGCAGTGGGGTTGAGGATGCCGCTCTTCCCACCGGCGTTCCTTGGAGCACTCCGCTTCAATGAGCTGGTCAACCGGGAGGAAGAGGGTGCTGTCAGTCCAGAGGACACAAGGGAGAGGGAGGAGGGAGGAGGGAGGAGGGAGGAGTAAGGGATAGACTGATGAAGAGAGCAGGGTAGGGGGTGGAATAATGGGAGGAGCTACAGATGCAGTGGAGAGAAGAAAGAGAAGATGACTGAGGGACCCTCTGTGTCCAAGACTTAAAAGAAGGAAAAAAATCAAGAGAAAGACCCCTTGGTGGAGAGCAAAGAAAGAAAAGATGTTCCCAGTTCTCCCCCTCCCTGCTTCCCCCTCTCCCTTCCTGCCTTTTTATTACGGTCTATTCTGTCCCCTCCCCTACTGTGTGTAGGTGTGCATATACTAATCCATGGGGGGGGGTGCTTATGGCATTCAGAGGACAGCCCTCCCCGTCACCATGTGTCCAGAGACTGAACTCGGCTCGCAGGCTCGCCTTTCCTTCCTAAGCCATCTCGCCAACACACTTCCTGTGTGTGTCACGTCAACATGTGTGAGTTTACGTGCATCGTGTGTGTGCAAGTGCCCACAGATGTCAAATGGCATCAGGTTCTCTGGAACTCAAGTGATGTGGGTGCTGGGAACTGAACCCAGGTCTTCTCAAGAGCAGTAAGTGCTCTTAACCACTGAGCCATCTCTCTAGCTCTGCCCTTGTGACCTTTGACACTGACTCTCATGTAACTTAGGCTGGCTCAAACTCTCTATGTTGCTGAGGATGACCTTGAACTCCTGATCTTCCTGTTTCTACCCCCAAAGTGCTGGGGTGACAGTCATGAACTACCATGCCTGCCTGGCTGATGCAACCAGTTTCAAGGCCAGTCTTGCTGGGACTCAAAGCCATATCTGAACTTTTATAACCAGAGGGCGCGGTGGGGGAAGGAATCTCATATGTATGTACTTTAAATATAGCCCGATAAGAATGATTATCACTGCCCAGGAGGATTATGAATGATTTTTATTTTCTCTTTTGTGTGTGTCTGTTTCCAAATTTTCTGCAATGATCAGGTAAGCCTTGCTTTTGGAATCAGAGATAAGTGCTATTTAAAAATAGCATGTGTGTGTGTGTACTCGTGTGCATATTTTCCCAGCTGTCTTGACCTCTTTGAAGAGTCATGATAATTCACACAGGGTGAGGGAGGAGAGTGCTGGCCTCTAAGAAACAAACCACAGAGAGTGGACACAGGACACAGCAGTAAGAAAGTGCATCACTGGGTTAGGAGGGAAAGGAGAGTAGACACTCCCGGTCCTTTGAGACAGAGAGAGCAGTCTTGAAAGGAAAAGGAAGTAAATCACAGCACATAAAACCTTAGCAAAGGCACTGTGGATGTGGCTTGGTTGTAGGGAGCTTGCTGCACACTCATGAATCCCTGGCTTCCATCCCCAGCATCCATAAACCACGGCACATAACCTCCAATCCCTGCACTCAGGAGATGGGGGCTGGAGTGTCAGGAGTTGAAAGGCTATCCTCAACTCCACTGCAAATTCGAGACCAGCTTGGGCTGTATAAAATCAGGTCTCAGAAAACATATCACATACAGCACTTCCATTGTACACACGGGAAAACCGAGACCCAGTGAGCAGGGTCGTGACACCCAAGGTCATTTCAGCAGCCAGCAGTGGGGCCAGGATTCTTGCGTGGAAGGTTTCTATTTTGCCACTAGGTTCTGGGGTAATTTTTCAGCAGCCCCAGGGGACAGGCAGGTCTGGGGATGATAGACATATTCAAAGTAGAGAGAGAAGCTGTTTAAAGTCTACAGGGAATGGACCTGTGGTGGGGGGGCAGAGTGGATACTGGTCCGGGCCCCCACTTAGCACCCAGGCAGGAGGCCCAAGCCAAAGCTCTCTGTTTACAGCTTCCCCCTTTCTAGCCAGGGATGACAGAAGACTCCTTCTTTCTTCTTTTCCCTCATCCCAGCCAGACTATTAAAATGTAATCAAAAACTCACATTAGACATGCAGAGTCTACTTAAAACACATATATGTATATATATATATAAATATATATAATTTAACGGCAATTAGGAGCTAATCAGCTTTTTTTTTTCTCCCTGACTCGGTGTGTTTTGCTTCCTTGGTTCAGCGCTGGTCCACGAACAGCTAGCTCAGAGCCCTTAGAATCCCTCACTCTTAGGTTGAGAGATTCGGGCAGAAGTTCAAACCGAGATATTTTGAGTTAAGTGGTTCCACTCTGCGGCTGTGTTGGAGAGGACACTGTGTGTCTCTCCTGCTTGTGGGTCTGCCTCTCTCACGAGCCCAGCTCACGCAAAAGGAAAGGAAGAGGTCACAGATACTCCTGGGTATCGCTGTCCTGAGTCTTGGTCCTGTCTTCCCGATGCTCTCACCATGTGCCTGTAGCCCAGCATCCCCAGCCCTTTCCAGTGACCTGAACACTGCCTTTCAAACTAGGAGACTGGTGACAGCTAAAACACTCAAAGGGGCAAAATCACACGCCTGGGGTGAAGCCAAAGCCCGGATAGCTTAGCTGGAATCTCTGACACTCGTTAAGATAATTATAGCATCTTAATTAGTGCTGCATCCACCGGGCCACCAGGATTTTCTATCCGTCTTCTATCAGTTTCGCGCCAACCTTGCAACAGAGGCATGTGAACGGCCCCATTTTGCGGAAGAACATTGATATCTAGACATATCCAGAGGCTCTGCTTCACTAGAGAACTCTAATACAAAGGGGTAAGGAGCGGGGAGAAAGTGGGATTGACGCAGGAAACCCTCCTGTAGCAACTAGGTACTAGGGCAGTTCCAGAATTTTCTCCCAAGAAACCCAGGTCCTAGGCTGGTGATATAGACCAGTAGAGAGTGCTTGCCTAGCCAGTGTAAGGCCCTGGGTCAAACCCCAGTAGCAGAGAAAAGGAAATTCCAGACCCTCACTGGGGAATGCCCCCCAGACCTCTAGATGAAGGCAGATGGTACTTCCCCGAGCCCTTCATTCTTCCTCCCACAAGACCCACTCAGACCTCTGCTCATCCCTGGGGCAGGCTGGCTGTGCCCAGCTGAGGCAGATGCTCCATTGGATGTGCTCCCAGGAGGCTCCATCCTGCTGGCTCAGAGGGGCCTCGGCTTGCTGATTAGAAGCCTAGGTGGGGTGGAAGAGGAAGGGGGTGGGGCTGTGGTAAGCCTGCCCGAGCCCCCCATTTCTCAGAGAAGGACAGGCTGCTGGGATGGAGTAGATGAAGGATGGCTGTCCTCCCAGGCTGACAGCTGCTGACGAAACGGGGCACCGACGCATAAACTCAACAGCTCAATATATACTGAGCAAACAAGCTTTGCCCTGGGCGGTATATCAGCCAGGGTACTGTCCCAGAATCCCCAGAGAAACTTCACAATCATGGCCCGGAAGCTGCTTCCTTCCTGTCGTTCTGTGGATTCCCTCTGGTGGGCTCAGTGGGACAGGACTGGTCCCCTGACAACAAGAGGTTATCAGAGACTCAAAAGAACCATGGCTTGATTTCAGGAGCTGAGCAGCACAGACTGTGTAGTTAGAGTAGACCTGGGTTCAAATCCCGGCACTGCCACTAGCTGGGTGTTTGGGGCAGGAATGTTTCTCCCTCAATAAAATGGTGAAGCCTTGCCATCAGCTGGCCTTACTTTGTGGCCAACACGCACTGTGTGCTTTTTAACTATTACATTTGATTATTTACTGTATGTGTGCATACATAGGTGTGTTGAGGAGGTCAGGGCACACCTCGTTGGAGTCAGTGCCTTTTTCATCATGTGAGTCCTAAGGTTTGAACTCAGGTCGTCGGGCTTGG